AAAAAAAAAAAAAAAAAAAAACCCTCACCAGTTGGCAGATTTTAATGATAATATGCAGTGGATATAGAATAAAATGCAGCAGTTTAAAAAGAATGAGGGAGGGCCCGGGATTTAGCTCAGTGGTTCTGCCGCCTGCCTCCCGAGAGCAAGGACCCGAGTTGATCTCTGGTACCAAAGAAAATTGTAAGAATAAGGGAATAGACTACATGGTGAGGGTCGATCCCCCACAGTTCCTTGAGCACAGTCTGTTTTCTGTAAGTTAAAACAGGTCTCTTAAGTGCGTAGGGAAAGTCAGCGCCCCTAGGGAACCTGTAGGTTTGCTGTGGTTGAATGGGCCCATGATAGTCCAGGTTTTAGCTCTGGTTCCGCCGCCTGCCTCGCAAGCGCGAGGTCCCGAGTTCGATGCCCGGTACCAAAAAATAAATAAATAAAATTTAAAAATTAAAGAGAAAACTATGAAAAATTTTAAAAATTACCGCTTAGAAAGATTAAATGACCCAAGATCTCCTAGCTTGAAAATGGAAGAGGTGGTATTCAGCAGCAGGTTTATATTGCTGTAAACCCAAAGTCCAATAAGGAAGACAGAAAAAAGAATTATCTGTCTATCATCTGTGTAATAGTTCTTGTAATCCTCACTTTAACAAAGAAACCAAGGCAAAAAATGTTAAATTTTCTCTTCAGCCGTCTAAGTTTCTTTCCTTCTCACTGAGACACAACACCTGATGCCCAGGACTTCAGGAAGGAGAGGTTTCTTTGGGCTCTGTGCCGGGGTCCTGGCCACCGTGATCCCAGAAGGGACGAGGAGGGCACCGCTGGGGGCCCACAGTGGAAGCAGAAAGTGGGGGTCAGGTCCCAGAGCCCCATCACCTTCCCAAAGCACAGGGGGTCTCGGGGGCCACTAGGTACAGGCCGTGACACTCAGCCGATTATGACAAATGATGCTTTGCTGCTGTCAAATGTCAGCAAAGGTGTGGGACAGTCCTTGCACTGGGGCTTGGAGCTACAGCCTGGCCTCTTACAATTCTACCCTCAAATTCACACACATTAGGGGCCGGGAATTTAGCTCAGTGGTTTAGCTGCCTGCTGCGCAAGCACAAGGACCCGAGTTCGATCCCCAGTACCAAAAAAAAAAAAAGGTGTTCATTAGAGCATTTTTATAATATTTTAAAATAGTCTAGCTCTCTGTTGATGATAGAATAGTTAAATTCACCAAGATATATTATGTAAAGGTACAAATTCCCAATGATGAATGTCATATTGGATACCTAAAATGTACCAATAAACTTAATGATAAAAAAAATTCACTGTTACTGTTTTGGGCAGCAATTTTAAAGATTGAGCTAGTGGAGTTTCTTCTGCGGAACCTTCAGGTATCTGCCAGAGGGTAGCCCTGGCCATGACCCCTCAGTTGACACCTCAGTTCCACCCACCATTGGCGTCAATGGGAGTGGGGATTCACCAGGGGGCGACTGGAGAAACCTGTCCTCTGCTTTGAGAGTGGCAGCTGCCCTAACAGCAATTACTAGCTGGCAGAGTAACCACTGTTTGGTATTCTATAAGGGACAGATAAAAGCCTGAACTGCTTTTATCTGAGATGATTTCATAAGAGACCCATTTTACAACATTTTTAAGCAACTAAGTCCAAATGCAACATAACAAAACAAGGGTAAAATGTAGTTTTATTTTATTTTTTTATTTGTTTGTTTTTTGGTACTGGGGATCGAACTTGGGACCTTGCGCTGGCAAGGCAGGCACTGGAACCACTGAGCTAAATCCCTGGCCCATAAAATGTAATTTTAATGAAGGACAATGCATAAGAAAAACAAGAAATTTGTAAACGTGTGAAACACACAATTTAAGATTAAGACACTTTTGAAACAAAAAGCTAAAACAAAGGCCAGAATTTATGGAACAAAAAGTTACAATCTATGAAGCAAAAAGACCAAAATTAGAACCTATGGAACAAAAGCAAAATCTTACCTCACAGTAATCTCGGTGGAAGACCTCCAAAATGATACAGGGGAAGAGATGCAACTCCCAAACCTGCCAGATATCCGAAGTGCAAGTTTTGTTTGTTGTTGTTTTTGTTTTTTGGTACTGGGATCAAACTCAGGACCTTGTGCTTTCAAGGCAGGCGTCGCAACCACTGAGCTAAATCCCCAGCCCTAAAGTGCAAGTTTTATTGAGAGAAAGAAAGCTGTCTCAGAGAGACAGAAGTGGGACGAGAAAGTGGGTTCCCCCTGAAACTGGTTATTCTTTATAGTGAGTGTGTCAAGTGCTTTATTAGTATAATATAGTGGATAGTTCTTGACAGAAGTCAGAAAGCTGTTTTGGCTCTGCTGTTAAAATAGCATTCTTCTTAATGCACACATTCTTCACTTCCTCATCTGCAAAATGGGGGTAATAATTCCTACTTTACTGGATTGTTAAGTGAGGATTATACAAGGATTTAGCACCATGTTTGACATTCTAGGTAGCTTATATCATCATTAATGCAAATTTCTCAAAGTAGAAACCGTAATTCTTGTAATAAGGTCATATTATTGAGACAAAAAAAAAAGATTGCACTAGTGGGTATATGTGCATATGTGTATGTATTGCATATCTAGAAAATATATACAGTAATATCAAATACGAAACAAACCTCCAGGGCCGGGGATGTAGCTCAGCACCAGAGCGCCAGCCTGGCAAGCATGAGACCCTCAGTTCAATTCCTGATGCCAAAAAAATAAAAAAGAAAAAGAAAAAAGAAA